GCACCACGTCAGCCTGTGTGCCTCTCTGCATTATGAGAAAGGTTGGAAGGGAGTAGTGGTGTTTATAAGACAAGGGGTCAGAAGCTCCTGGTCTCTCTAACTCAAGGTGCAGCCATTTCCCACTTGGCAGAGACATCTGAGCCTATACTAGATCTTCCCCTCAGGGTGGTCTGGTCTTCAGATCCTCAGGTCCTATTTAGCACAGATGCAGTCTCTGGACCTGGTGAAGAGGCCTGGGGAGTCATCTCCTCTCAGGACTGAGACAACATCCCTCAGATAGTATCTTCATAATGAGATTTGTAACTGCTGATGCTGATGAATTTCCTACCTTGCTGAGAGCATTTCCCTTGTAGAGTAATTTAAGCAGAGCCCCATTTAGCGGGTTTCCCAATGCTTCTGCTTATTGTATCCATAAAAGGCTGGAGCATAGGACTCCAATTCTTCACTCACATGATGCAGAATGCAGAAGACACCCAGAAACAGAAATAGGACATTGAACTTCACATCTTGGTAGAGATACTGCGGCTGGATTTGAGGGAGGGTATTGGGGGGTCATAGTGTGGCAGGAATATGAACCAGATGAATGAGGATTCAATGGGAAAGGGTGAGTAATGGTGGTTTTTAACAGATAGTCTGAAGTTTCTCCAAGTGCCTGCTTTGTGAATTGAGAATGACACGCAAATTCTTGGGAAAAATCTTTGGAAACCACCAGGAAACCTCCAGTGAATCAAGAGCCCCTTTGATTCCTATCTATACTGAAATTAGAAATGCAGCCACAGGTCACATGTAGCATGGACAAGCTGAGAACCGAGGGTCTTCCTGTAGGAATGCTAGAGTTCAGGAGGAAAACATCCCAGGAGGTACTGGATTATATCAGTTGTGTCCATGATGCTTGTCACTGGTCAGGGATGGACAGTGGTCAACCATGGGCTAGCCTGATGGAAACAGTTATGTGTCAATATACCTGCTCAGCATGGCAGGCAAGGATGACTCAGAGATCCCAAGGACCTTGAAGAGCTGGGTCATACTTAGCAGCCTGTCCTGTGGGGACTTCACACAAAAGTGGACATGACCTCTGTCTTTACAGGCTAGGATGGGACAGGGATGCAGTTCCTCAGACAGGACTAGTATATGCACCTCTGTATCCGGCTGCTGACTGGTGCAGGTATTAAGTACCTGCCTTTTTCTAGTTGGATCAGGTTTTCAGTTAATACATATGCAGCATCAGGAGTATGCAAATAACCTACGACAGCTGTGATAAATACACATGGAACTGGGCTATGAACAACCTCGACCCTCCTTTACAGAATCCTGACAAAACAGCTCCCTACAATGGGCTGGTGCTGGAGATTCACGTTTTTTTTGGCAGCAGCTTAGGTAAGAGATTCTCCAGGCCAAGGACTGAGGAGGGCCCAGAGCCTGACAGGACTATTGATCCATTCTGCATCCTCACCATAAGTGTCCACACCCAGGTCCTCCTGGAGCAGCCAGGGGCTGAGTTAAGGAAGCCAGGGACCTCAGTGAACGTGTCCTGCAAGACTTCTGGGTTAACCTTTACCAACAGCTATATGCACTGGGTGAGGCAGAGGCCAAGCCAGGGGCTGGAATGGACAGGCAGAATCGACCTTGAGGGTGATAGGACCAAATATGCACAGAACTTCAAGGGCAGGTTTACCCTAACAGTGGACAGATCCACCAACACATCCTTCATGGAGCTGAGCAGGTTAACAGCTGAGGACCAATCTATGTATTATTGTGCTAGACACCATGTGAAAACCATATCCTGAGAGTGTCAGAAACCCTGAGAGTGAAATTTGCGGAAGAAGAGGCTGAAGCCTGGCTTAGAAAATGGGCTAATTAACTGAGGAAACGAACAATAGAACTGTGTATCCATTCTGATTGTATGGGAAGCCTTCCACACACCAACCACCCACCTGCATAACAGAGAGAGCAAGGAATGTTTCCAATTAACAATTAACAATGTTGACACAAACATTGCTGCGTTTTTATGCATGGGAATATATTTTTACAAATACTTTGGATAAGTTATATGAAGTAGAATAGTTTCATCACGTGTTAAGTGTATTCCTAGGAAATGGCCACAATGCCTGAGCCATTTTTATTTAGAGAAATTACTTACAGAGCTGACTTTCATTCATGGAAAATGAATTCTCCTCCCACATGAACAACCATCTCCACCAATGGCATACTGCCCTGCAGTTTAAGGGTGTTACAGCAGACAGACAACCTTGAGAGTATTCATATCCAGCCCATTCTGTACATGTGGTCTCATTCACAGTTCAGTGTCGTTCTTGATTTTGGATAAACATGAGAGCAGTGACAAGTCTGGAGTCCTTGGTCATTTTAGAATATCCAAGAGTTAATGTCATTGGGAGTCTCTTTAGCTTTGCACACTGACTGAGATTACATTGTACTAGTGTAGGTTACTTTCCCATGACAAATGTGAAATCTGTCTGATGAATGTGGATCATGTCACACTCAGAAACAATATGACAATTTCGTCCATGAGGTCATTGCTCTGTCAGACAGCCAACACATTATTATCCTGCATGAGAAGGCAAATTTTCAAATATCAGACAGTCAGTACATCAGAGTCTCCTTTCTTTCTTTTCCTGGAAAGAGGGAATTGTTCACCACACAAGTGAAAACTGAACTCAGTACTCTGAACTGAAAGGGGTCTTCCAAGGTACAATAAAGTCCTGTGTCAATGTGGCAGCAGGACCTTGACTCAATGACTTTCCAGAATAGACTTCGAGAGCCAATGGGGTAGCTTTGTCATCTCTCATGATGTGAAGGAGACTCCAGATAGGTTTCCACGTATTTGGGTATCATCAGCATGAGTCATCCCAGTGAGTTGTAAAGCTGAAAGCTCCATCAGATGACCATTCAGATGCAGTTACTACAAACAAGCATGTACAGTTTCACTGTGGACACAAGTCTTCAGGTGGGTGGTTGGTGTGTGGAAAGTTTCCCATACAATCAGAATGGATACACAGTTCTATTGTTCATTTCCTCAATTAATTAGCCCTTTTTCTAAGCTAGGCTTCAGCCTCATCTTCCACAAGGTAACAAATTTCAAGTTGGTCAAATGCATAGACAGGAGCTTGATTGCCACTGGTACAGTCAATCTGTGTGTAAATTGCCTAAATTGAACTCCAAGAATGTGTGGGATCGTTGAGGAAAACAACTGATGATATAGCTTTGTGTGGAGAAGACCAGTACTCAGCATGAGTTCTACATGGAGGAGACTCAAGTCCCAGACCCCAGTCTTCAGTGAGTCCCTGTGCAGCCACCAGCAGAAGACCCATGTCTTTGATGAGCCCTAGTTTCCCTAGCCAACAGGACACCAGAGGGGCTCACACCTCAACCAGGGTAAACCAGAGGAGAAGAGAGGAGGCAGCAATTTGTTTCCTGACTCCATCCAGGGTTTCCTCATTTCACTTAACCACTTTCAACTTTGGACGCCATCCCCCACATAGTTATTGACCAAAGGACATGAAGAAATCACACAATAACACACACATACATACACATTAAATCACACACACACATATACTCCCACAGTGGCTCACATACACCCACTAATACACGCTCACACACTCACACTCACAGTGATACACTCTCATAGTCACACATTCACCAACAGGTGTAAACTCACATTCAGACTCATTCAGTGTTTTTCTTTTTTCTCCCAAGTAAATTTCTGATCATTGCTTATTTATGGAATGCATTTCTTTCATTTTAAACCTCATAATTATACTCATTGTCCACTTACAGCCTTGTTATATTTTATACATCCTCTATCACATACTGTATTATACTACATTTGATATGTTCCATTTTTATATTGTGAAATAAATAAATTAAAGATCAATTAATGAAATATAGTCCACTGTAAGGCAGGTGAGATGTACAGAATGAGTGAGGTGTGAATGAAAACAAGGCAATGTGGGCTGAGATTTGATCTCCATCTCACAACACAAACTCGCATTTTTCAAATTCTGTCCTGGCCACAGACTACCACGAGGACTCTGCCATCGCCTCTGCACTACAATTGTTTACACCAACATACCAGATTTATTTTGCTTTGGCTAAGTTCATTCTGAATGTGGCTCATGTGTCATAACAGTTACGTTGTTGTAACAGCCATTAGAATATTGGAGTCTATGTCTGCAGAAATATGAATCTTTTTATTGCTCATTAAGTTATTATGAATTTATGGTCCAACACTGCTGTTGAGAAGATGGAAGGTGTAGTGGCAGCAGGCTGAGGAGACATCACATCTCCCTCATGGTGCTGCACTAAAACGTCACAGCTCCTAGCTCCTGCTTGTCTGTGCTCATCACACAGGTGGAGGAATGCTTGTCCTCTCCACAGCCCTGTAGAGGTCCAGCCTGAGCCAGCTGGACCAAGAATTCTGGTCCTCGCCACAACTCTCCTTAGAGTGCTGCTGTTCACTGTAAGAGGAGTCATAGAATAAGGTACATGAGCTGCCTAGATTAACTGAGCTAAGTACAAAGTTTCCTTTGTGCTGGTATGAGGATCACTGCAAGTGTTATGTATACCTAAGAGCAGTATTACTTGATCATATGGCAGTATTACTTTTATTTTTGAGGATCATCCATTGATTATGTTCCTGATAATAGGCATTATAACAAGATTGAGGTGGACTCCATACAAGAACTGGGAAGGTGAACAAGTCTCATATTTTCAGCAGATTCAGGGACCTGTGATTTCACCCACCTACACTCACATTCATTGTCAGATACCAGCACTAGGCAGAGAATTAAAATAAACATCACTTGAATTCAATAGAGGTGACATTTCCGGGACACAGGAGGATCAAAAGTATCCTGAAACCAGACCCTACCCATGTAAGAGAAGCATTATGTCCACATGCAAATTATTATTCATGCACTAGGTTAAATCCCTTCTCAGGCTGTGGAAGCCACTGCTATCTCCTCACACAGGGCTGAGGTCTCTGGGGAAGGCAGGGCTTTGGTCTAGAAGATGAGATTCTTGGGTCTTCTCCTGTGCCTGATGACAGCTCCACAAAGTGAGTGACTCCAATGTCAGATATGGGTGAATGGGGAGGTTGTGAATTCAGGTGGCTGAATGGAAGGTTTTTCTTTATCTCCAGATGTCCTGTCCCAGGTGAATCTAAAACAATGGGGGTCTGACCTCGTGAAACCCTCTCAGTCCTTGTCCCTCACCTGTGCTGTCTATGGTTACTCCATTACCAGTGGTTATGACTGGACCTGGATCCGCCAGCCCCCAGGGAAGAGCCTGGAGTGGATGGGGTACATAAGGTATGATGGTAGCACTAACTACAGCCCATCCCTCAAAAGCCACATCTCCATCTCCAGAGACACGTCCAAGAACCAGTTCTCTCTGCAGCTGAGCTCTGTGACCACAGAGGCCACAGCTGTGTATTACTGTGCTAGAAGCACAGTGATGTGAAGTCAGTGAGGGCACAGACACAAACCTCCCTGCAGAAGAATGGACACCTGGTCTGCTGGGAGCACTCAAGCCTTACACAGCCACGTGTGTCAGCCCAGAAGCAGGTGCCAGTGCTATTGGACATTACTTCCTCTGAGCTCAGAAATTTTCTTTCTTCTCTAATGACTGACATGCCTCCAGGGACGTCTCTCTTTCTCTGTGTTGGAGTATTTGTGTTCTTACATCCTTACTGTAGCAGTAAGGAGGAAGTGACATTCTCTGTTTATGGATGAAATGGGACTAGTCACCAGCACAGTCCAGCCACACAACAACTCTACCTGTGTCACTACCCTCAGACAGAATCACATCTGTCTCAGCTGTGCAATTTGAGCCTCCCTAACTCTTCCCCTCAGGTCCCTGTTCTCCCTGGGTTGTCGAAACTCTTGCTCCATATGCACACTACAGCCCCCGATGGCCAGCATTTCTTCTTTTTTATTCATCACTGAGGTCCCTGGATGGAGAACGATTCCATGTTTGCTGAGAATATAGCTTTCAGATTACCTTCAAAGAGGCAGGAATATAATCTTAGGGATGAAAACCACTCCCATCCACGCTGTGGCATATTCAGGACGGGAATCTGAAAGCATCCTTGGGATTTGTGTGCTGAGATGGATCCCTCAGCTTCCACATGAAGAATCCACATGAGTAATGAGAACTGGGTGGATGGAATCATCATTCATGCCCACTACCTAAACTCCACCATCTCCTCTCTCTTAAAACCTGAATTCACAGTAAATCAATCCTTAGCATCAGAGGTTCATGGGAACAGAGCTCTGCTCCATTATTCTCATTGTTCCCTCATCTCCAGGCACAAGGAGATTCACTGAAAAGTACACCATCAAGGCCCTAAGCCCATCATTGGCTAAGACCCATCTCATGCATCCATTCTTCCATAGACACATAGAGAGGTTAGAGAGGTGTGTCACACCCTGCAGTGCCCATTTTCCTGGTGAAACAGGCTCTACTATAGGACAGCCTTGCCTCTTGTGGAGCCCAGACAGCTGCTGACCATAGGACCTTCCTCACAACTCACATCTCAGGTCAGAGGATGGCTAGATGGTCCATAGTAGACTCTGTGATGGCAGTGGTCAGTGAATGAGATGAGTGGGTGGTCAATCCCTACCTCACCAATGTCCCCAGTGTCTACAATCATGTCACAGACAAGCATCTAAGATCCACATTTTGCCTGATTTTCATTCAATTCACACAGATCCCTGAGAAGTAAGCAAACATGGCACAGGTGTCCAGTGACATATGAATAAGTCATCATCAAGATTATCTGCTCTCCTGGGGTGATTTTCTATCAGTGAGATTTTATAGCTGAATCCATGGATTCAACCACACAAAACATTTTCTCTATATTGATATCTGTCTTGATTTCACACAGTAAAACGATAGTAAATCATCTGGGATTTTGATTGTAGTATTCCCCTTCAAGGCCCCTAATTCCTGTGTGTTCCAGGAACAGGTCAGGGAAGCTGTGGTGCAGAGCAGTTATGAAGCAGATGAAGTCAGCACAAATAAGGTCTTTCCTTATTTGTGCAAAAGCTGTTACCATAAATTCAGTCGTATTGCCTTTGAAATCAGAGCTTCATGCTTGCTAGACAGGTGCTCTTCCACTTAAGTTATCTCCAGACATTTTTCAATCGATTGCTTTGGAGAAAGAGTGTTGTTTTTTCATATGCTCGACTTGACTGTGATATTCCTATTCTACACTTCCCCATCTAGAAGGGATGACAGACGACCACCACAATTCTCATACTTTTTCCATTGAGATCAGGTCATAAAAATACTTTGACCGTCCTGAAAAAAATGCTGGAGCCAGTTTTTGTCCCATTAAATATTGAATTTACTTTATAATTTTGCTTTTCTAAATATTCACTGTCTATATAGGAAGACTTCACTAAACCAATGCAATTTAGCCACTTTAAGCAAAGTTGAATTTGTTTAAGAAATTTAACATAAAGTTAAGTTTTAATATTAATATTGTTCTATGTCACCATTTGTAACTTAAAATAACACCCAAGGATTTCTCTGTTAGAGGATTCATGCCCATCCTGGCAGTATGGGTTGTGACACTGTAAGGGATGTGTCTAGGAGAGATTTAGTGTCACTGGGTGTGTGCTCTAAAAGGGCTGTGGTGCCCAGGTATCTTTCTCTGTCTTTCATCCACTCACCATGACATGAGTAGTTTTTCCCCATCAAAACTTTATTGTCCTTGCAGTCTGTCCTTCGCATCAAAGGCTGAGATCAATTGTCTCCCTGTCATGGACTGGAGTCGCTGAAACCAGGAGCCAAAAACCTTCTGATTAGCAGGTATTTTCATTGTTAGTGACAGGATAACACATTTCACAAAGAACCTTTTCTTTATTTTTGACTTCATGTCACACATATTCACATGCTAATTTGTTTAAAAATTATAATCTCAAACTTCAAATGCATGTTATTTACCCATGTCATTTTATTAATGGAAACTCCATGTTTTTTGCTTTTGGCCTTTATTCTATTACACACATGGATGAGGTGTTTTATCCCTGTTTTCCTTACTATCCTCTCCTGGGCCGTTTTCCTTCTCTTGCCCCTAGGAAGGGCCAGTAGACAAAGAGGCTAGCTGGAAAGCAAATTTCTTGGGAGTAAGACGCCCACAGGGGCTGTAGTAAGTTCTGACATTTCCCTGAGAATATACAATATAGCAGAGAGGATTAAAGCTGAGGGCCTGCTCACTAAAAACCTCAAAATTTTTACTTTATCACTGTAGTACAACACTTAGTCTGTCACCAACCAGATGGGGAGTAGAGATATTAATGGGCCCATAACAAAGAAAGACTTACAGAGTAAGTGAAACCCTAATAAAGCAAATCGTAGCCATACCAGAGGCCTCACAGGAGCTGACATGATGGTTACCACTGCCACAAGACACAGTTCCAGGGACTTTGCTCCAAAACACAATAGAGATGCAAAGAATATGATGAACTGTGCTCTGCTTGGGATTCTCAGAGGAGTTTGAGATGGAGATTTAAGGGGAACCTTTGTTTCACACTATTTTTTTATTCATAATACAATGTTTGGGTCATTCCTCCCCCCTTCTCCCTGTCTGCTCCCTTTCCCCCACTGTTTTACACTATTTTCATGAGAAACCCAGCCTCTCCAAAGGCCCTGCATTTTTCAATTAATTTTCAATTGAGTTGTAATTTCTTGGAATTGTGGTAAAATGCACATAAGATGTAACTTATAATCTTATCTGTGTAGGTGGGTAAGTCAGAGATTTTCAGTTAGTCAGGGACCTGGGGTCTCACACACCAGTTCTTATAGCCTGAGACTCAAGAATTTGTGTATATAGTGTATATAGGGGAGCTTCGTAGGAACAAGAATGAGAGAAGTGAATTGAAATTATTTTGTCATTAAGAGGTGTCTGGGCAAGGCATGAACTGCACACCCCAGGACAAAATTGTATATTCCTCAACCACACATTTGTACCTCTCTGCAAGTCACAACAAGCCCTGGAGGGGTCAGTACCTGGGAAATTTCCAAGAACTCCTCTTTTTATGTGTCCTCAGTGCTCTGAGTAGAGAATTGTCTGTGATTTTGAAAGTGACTCTTAGGTTTTACTGGAAAAGATCAAACTAGAGTTCATCAGATGTAAGTCAACAGCTGCTGCCTGTGACGCATCAGAAGTCATGAGAATCTAAACAGTGACTATCTTGTCCTCAGTCCTATTGGATGTGATTAAGTCTCCCAAATCTGTTTGCCACTCAACTACTCACAGGCTCCTAACATTCTCTCTTCACTGGGAAGGGATGTCTTCACCCTGCTCTCCACAAATACCATGGGGCTAAACACAGAATGTAGACTCATTACCTGAAAAATAACAGTAGAAATGCATGAAGAATGCCTGAAGGACATTTCCACCTTACATTTCTAGGTGAAGAATGGAACTAGGATTTTATGGACCAGTGGATGTCAGAGTTGACTGCTGTCTCTCTCATCACTATATGTACTGTAAAGTTGTGATGAAATTTACAAAAATGGAGGTCAATGATGAGTTGAGGAATTTAAATCCAGGAAAATCCTATGGAGAACAAGACAGGAATGTGAATGTATAATGGGAACAGTAAAATAGAGATGCAGAATTCTCACTGGAGGTTGGAGAGTTGAAAGCCAATTGCCTCTTTTTTTTCCCAAAGACTTAGAATCATTTTGGTGAATAAATCACAGGTTAAACAGTTTTTTTCCAGTCTATTTTGGTTTCAATAGAGGTATATCTTGTATCAGAGCATGTCCTAGAGCAGAAGATAGGCATCAACCACCTGTAAAAACAACAATGTGACAAGGTAACGAAATCCAAGCTGACATAGGAATTCAATCTTAGTACAGGGATCAGAGGGAGAAAGTAGAAGATATTCGGGAATTAGAGCTGGAGAAGTAAAACCGAGAGCTTGTGTGGACAGGGGATTGTGCTGGTGGCAGGTATAAGAGAAAAGGTTCTGAGTCAGATATATCTGGGCTCAGGAGGGTAGGCACTTGCTGTGATTAGCTATGAAAATTACATCACTTGAATTCAAGAGAATTGGCATTGTACAGGGGTACACAGACCAAAGGAATCCTGAGTTAAGTTCCTAACCATATAAGAAGGGGACACCTTCATTAAATATTAATTCATAATATTCAGGCTAAATTTCCTGGCCTGGGCTTTGGGAGCTCACAGCTCTCTCCTTACATAGGGGTTAGGTCTTGGGGAAGGCGGTGTTTTGATCTAGAAGATGAAACTGCTGTGTCTTATCTTTTGTCTGGTTACACTTTGCCAACATGAGGGTCCCCAATGTCACATTTATGTGGGACAGCTGTACTACAGCTGACTGATGGGATGATACTCCTTGTCTTCAGGTGTCCTGTTCCAGATGCAGCTGCAGTAGTCTGTACTTGGCCTGATGAAGCCCTTGCAGAATTGGTCCCTCATCTAT